CAACTGAGAGATATTATGGATGGACATAAATTGAAAACACTGAAGGATTTAAAGAAAGGTGGAGGGGAACTTTTTAGTAAGATTGATGAGTGGAAATATCACCAATTAAAACACTTTGTAGAAGGCCTCCCGAAACCTATGAGAGGAAAAAAAAGGAGTGGAATTTGTTTGAGAGATTGTTGGAATCACGAGGAGATGGGAGACGGGGCACGGCAAAAATTTATAAGATTCTACTGAGTTAGTCATGAAAGCAAAACCAATCTATATAAATGGGAAAAAGATTTAGGGATAGAAATAGATGAGGATAAACAGAGGAAAATATATAGACTTACACATGAAAATGTCAGTATGAGAGAGGTGGAGGTAAATTATAAATGTTTGGTAAGGTGGCACATCACACCGACTGTTGAACACAAAATAGAGGTAGAAAGAACACAGGAGTGTTGGAGGGGGTGTGGAGGGATTGGTACGTGGTTTCATATGTGGTGGGAGTGTCCAAAGATACAAAGGTACTGGGAGACAATGGTCAACTTAATAAGGAAAATTTCAGGGATAAAGATAGGACTAGATTCAGAAGTGTGCCTGTTACATAGTACAGAGATACCAGTGAATAAATTCAAAGATTGGGGTATATGGTACTATGTGAATGCAGCAAAGGGCCTAATACCTAAATTCTGGCATAGTCCAGAGGTGCCGAGAGAAAAGGATTGGGTAGAGAGAGTAAATCAGATCAGTAGGATGGAGAAGTATTATATCCAAGAAGATAAGATGGAGATCTACACTAGGAGATGGAGGCAATGGGAAGAATTTGTACATCAAACGAATATATGTGAAGCAATGGGAAGTGATAAGTGAAGTTTCTTTTTGATTCTTTAGGAAAGGATGTAAGAGAGAAATGCAGAGTGGGAGGGTGGAGGGAGGTGGTAGGGAATAGGGGTAGAGGGAAGGGAAATGAAAAGGGGGAAATAGGAGATAAGAATTTTATATGAGAGTGTTGAATGTATTATCTTCTTTTATTTTTCTCTTTTTATATTTATAAATATGAAAAATTAATAAATATTTGAATTTAAAAAAAAATACCACCAAAAGAAATCTCTATTTGTGCGGAAAAAAAAATAATAAAAATTTCATATGGGTACAATGTTGCATGACCACGCAATTGTCACTCAAAGTGCAACAGCACCAAAAGCTGAAAATTGGCCTGGACAGGAAGGGGGTGTAAGTGCCCAGTAGGCAAGTGGTTAAAGGAGTATCAAAAGCTGAGACTTGTAATGTAGACTGAGAATGTAATGTCTTAATTTACCTCCAGTCTATCAGCCTCCAGCTTCTCTGGGTTCAGCTTCTGATCTTCCCTGCACAGAGCCCTTACATCACTTCCTTTTCCTGCCTAGGATTACGTTCCTTGAGACATTGCTCCTCACACATTCATAGGTTTTCAGGCACTTCCCGACATGTATGGACAGTGTACTGAGCTGTATGTGTGCACTTTCATGCAAACCAATAATGCATTCTACAGTGTGCGCAGGCCAACTAATCGATGAAAATCATTGACAACTATTTTCATTGATTATTTTTGATTAGTTTTTTTCAGGCCCAAAGCCAATCATGCTATACAGTAGCATTGCACAGATTATCAAAACAGTAATAATCTCCAATATTGCATAGTGTTGTCAATCTAAGATTCAACATTAGTGCGTTGCTGTTACTACACTACCCAATTACAAGCTAGCACAAGCACTGGGCCAACCTGTATAAAACTTTAACAGTGGAGAAAAGTGAGGTCAAGGGATGTAGCTGTCTGATAATGGTGAGGGAATCTCAAGACTGGCTGAAATGGATTAAAAATCCCTTGGCAGATAAAACAATTACACATATGTATTTTAACAGAAGTTTGCCTTTACTTCTAGGTCTATAACAAATTAGGTGAGTGGACATAGTATTCGTAGGAGCTGTTTTATCTCTGCGGAGAGAATTTCAGAACAAGATTTTGACTTAATTGTAAAATCCTTTTTTGGAGTACAGTATAGGGACACAAGCAAAATCATAAAAAAAAAAAGTGGGTTATATACAGATACCTTCAGGTGATCGGGCACTGGGAAGCAGAGCTATAAGGACCCACAAATAACCACTCTGACTCCTAGTAGTGAGCAGTTTAAGCAAGCAATAAAAGAATACACAAAAGGAGGACAGGACACATCCCATACTGTACTTCAAGAAACAGAAGTTACAGGCAAGTAAAAAAAAAAATCCCGTTTTCTTAGTCGCAGAGTACAGGACACAGACAAAACCATATAGGACTGGGAAGAAGCCCGTACACAATGACCTGTCTTATGCACCCAGCATTGATCTGCAGACAGCCCCATACAAGAGGCTCCCTGAAGGAAAAAGGCACAACATGAACCACATCCAGATAGTGGAAAGAAACCTCCCTGGGATGCTTCATAGCAGGGCAGAAGGTGGTGGTTCCTTTCTTCCTACCTTTTTCAGAAGGCCACCTTATCCTTTTGCTGAACCAAAAGAAAGCTTCCTTGCATGATAAAGCTGTCAGACCGAGGTTCTTGCTATAATGAAAGGACTCCTCCCTTCAATCAGCTTGGAGGGAGAAGTTCTTTAAAGGTATGGGTACCAGCCCACTGGCATGCCTAGGATACCGATCTGGAAACTGCCATTAACCAGTGAGACTTTTGTGCAGTCCTATACTTGACACAAAATCCACATAGGAAAAAGTTCAGGAAAGCCAGGAATTTCCTAACCTCCCAATCCATCACCTGAAGACACTAGCACAAACTGAGGATTTCTGGGAGTGGGAGGGGTTATTTTGAAGTTACTAAAGCCCTGCTTGCCAGAGTCCAATCAGCTGCATATAACCTAGGTGTCTATGGTTTTGCCTTTGTCCTGTACAATAAAGAATATAGGTTTCAACTGTTGCTCAACTGGAAGATTAGTGGTTCTAAAGGCTGATTGTTTATTATCGTAGGCATTCTATGCATGAAGATTAAAAAAAAAAAAATCTTGTGTGCAGGGGGCGCCCCCCCCCCCCCCCCTCAATACATGCCTGAGCCCCATTGTGATCCAGCGATGTGCACAAGAGCCTTGACTTTCCAGGGACTATCCCTTCTCATTGGCTGAGACAGCAGCAGCCAGTGAGAAGAGATGGGGAGCAAGCCAAGGCAAGGCTCTGTGTGTGAATGAACACAGATCAGCAGCTCCAGAGCAAGCCTGCTTGTGCACTCCCATAGCAAGTTGCATTCTCTGGGGGCACTAAGCCACAGGGAGGGGCTAGTAGCCCTGGCAGGGGAATTTGAGAAGAGGATCAGGGCTGCTCCGAGGAAAACCACTGCACAGAGCACGCAAGTATAACATGTTTGTAATTTTTTTTTTTTCTTAAAGTGCTTCAATATCACTTTAAGGCCAAAAGACATTTATATGTTTGGACAGATTCCCATATATATATAAAAAAAAAAACAAAACAAAAAAAAAAAAAAAAAAGAACACACCACACCCAAACAACCCTGTGAAAAAAAAAAAAAAAAAAAAAAAAAAAAAAGGTGGTTGCCAGTAAACTTATTTGTAGTTTAACTGAATAAACACCTACATATAATAAGACAATTGGTGTGCAAATGGACGGAAAACGCAGACCATCTCTGCTTCAGAGACTTTATTGGAAGGCCACAGGATTATTCCTTATCACAGAATAGAACATGGTTGACTAGTGTGCAACAAAATTTTCTAGGCAACATTTCTAATCAGGAAGCACAATCTGAGCTTTCAGGCAACTATGGGTTATGAGTGTCAAATTTGCTCCAAGAACATTCTGGATCACATGGCTAAACAGTTGTTTTTGCTTTATAGACCTTTAACAAGACAAGCAAAATATACAAAAGAACTATCAAGATGTAGTTGGTTGACATTTATTTAATTGCGATTCTTTAGCTGGGATGTAAGTCATGTTGTTGAAATCCCATGTAATTGTACTGGTAATCATCCAGGTGAATATACGGTGTGTCCATGTTGCATTTGTTAACAGTCTCCATCAGAATGAATATCCAACTTCTCCATTAAGTTAGTGATACCAAGGAGTGGACAAACACAAAGGCTCTTGGTTGATGATGCAGTGCAGTGATTATTCTAAGACAGCTACACAAAGTCAAATGCTTCACAAAAAAAATAAATGTTGGTCATGCAGAGATCTCTGAAACAGAATGTGAAACCCTGTTATGGCACATCAGTCACTACTTAGGTCTTGACTGGGGAAAAGGGAGCAAGAAAACAGTCAAAATAGACTAGCCAACAATAATTAAAATGGCGTGGTCTTTCTAAACTGCAGAAGAAAATATCTTCGATAACACAGTGTCCGATGTTTGGGAGATTAACAGAAATGAAGGGGGAGAAAACAAAATATTTTTTATATATGCATGCAATCGCTACTTTAACCTTCCTAAAATCCACTGTGGATGTGTACTGTGAATTATGCACCTGCAAAACTTTCTTAAACTCAACTGAAGCAGATCAGCAACTGATAAACCAAATTTCTTGCATCCTTATATAAATTAATCCACTGACTGCCAGCAAAACCTTGGCTGTACTTGGTCACAGCCATTGTGGCAGCAAAAAGGCTAAGCAGAGTCCAGCATTACCAAGACAAATGAAGTTAGTTAAAAACATATGCACTCCTTTGTGGTGAGCTGCGGGCGGTGCGATTAAAAAAACAAAAACAAAAAACAAAACAAAAAATGAAAACCTGGGGCTGGGGAGGGAGGAAATATGTCAACACCACCTGTTCTCCAAATGAGTTTCAGCACAGCATAAATAAAATCTGGAAGAAATAAATAGAATTTTGGCTCCTATGAGATCCGAACAGAAGAGGGATGTACTCAGAAAAAAAAAAAAAAAAAAGGTTGTGATACCCCCAGCCACAATACAGGGCGATCCTGTGCTGTAATGGAGGGATAAACGGAGATGTGAACTGAAAAGTTGATGAACAGGATTTGAAGTGGCTCCTATGTGTCTTCATTCATTTCTTGACTGTCTGTCCGGGCAATCTTTCGTGGAGGGGCAGATGTCTCGCCTATTTCTAACTGGTCTTGGTCTCTTTTCTTTGCAGCATTCTATGAAAAAATAAAAAAAATAAAAAATAAAAAAAAAATGTACCATGCAGTAAAAGAACAAACCTTTTATCCAATATCTTACAACAAAAAAACTGCAGACTGCTAAACTACTTAGTGAGCACTGGCTTGTATGTAGTTTACAGGATATGTGCTGTATGTAGGAAACTTTAGGGGTCCAAGAAGTGTAATAGCTGAAAGGGAAAAATACAGTTCTCACTTACTGTATAAGCCACCTACAGATGTCTGCACACATGTGATTTTGTACTTAACTATACATGATTTTTATAGCACCAAACAGTTTGCTCAGCGCTTTACAGTATAACGGGAGACAATACAGCAACAATACAAGAGGGATAGGAGGGCCCTGCTCCTTGGAGCTTACAATCTAGGAGGGAGGGGCTAGAGGTACAAAAAGGTAGTAACTGTGGGGGATGGACTGGTTGTAGGAGGAGTAGAAGATTCCATTATTAGCTGAGGGCAGGATAGGCTTCCCTGAAGAGATAGGTTTTCAGAGATCGCCTAAAAGTGAGCAGAGTAGGCGATAGTCTGATAAATTGGGGTAGAGAGTTCCAGAGGATGGGGGAAGCTCTGGAAAAGTCCTGGAGACGAGCATGGGAGGAGGAGACAAGGGAGCTAGAGAGCAGGAGGTCTTGTTAGGAGCAGAGAGTACGGTTTGGGTGATATTTAGAGACAAGATCGTTGATGTAATTTGGGGCAGAGCTATAAATGGTTTTGTAAGTTAATGTTTTGAATTTTATCCGTTGGGCAATGGGAAGCCAGTGGAGGGATTGGCAGAGAGGGGTGGCAGATACAGAATGGTTAGTAAGGTGGATGAGTCTGGCAGCAGCATTTATGATAGACCGAAGAGGAGATAGCCTGTGATGAGGTAGGCCAATGAGGAGGGAGTTACAATAGTCAAGGCGAGATATAACAAGGGAGTGAATAAGTTGCTTAGTGGTTTCCGAGGTTAGGAACGGGCGTATCTTGGAGATGTTGCGGAGGTGAAGTCTACAAGATTAGGACAGTAATTGGTTTTGGGACTGAAAGGACAGATTGGAGTCTAGGATTACACCTAGTACCCTGGCATGAGGGGAGGGACTGATGATTGTGTTATTGATCTTGATGGAGAAGTCAGGGGAGGGGGCACGGGCTGGGGGGAATACTAAGAGCTCAGTTTTGGAAAGATTGAGTTTGAAGAAGTGGAGTGACATCCATGCCGATATGTCGCTTAGTAGGTTAGTAATGCGAGAGGAGACTGAAGGGGTGAGGTGAGGGGTAGAAAGATAGATTTGTGTGTCACCAGCATATTCACATTCATTTTCATGCTTTGCAAAAAAAATACCATTACTTATGCAAAACAAATAACAGAAGGAATTAAAAAAAAAAAACAAACAAACAAACAAAAAAAAAACCACTTACCTTTTTGTCCCACTGTTGGTGTAGGTAACGCAAGAGTATATTTGTTTTTTCTGTTACGATGACTGAAAACAAAAGAAACCATGAAGAAATTTTCTTCCTCGTCCTTGCAGAGGAAAACTTTATTACAACAAATAGAATACAGACGCAGAGTGATATGGAAGATCACCCCAATAAAAAACACATGCAATTAGCCTTGAAATGGCAAAAAGGGAAAAGAGAACATGGTAAACCACATTATACTTACTTTGGTCTGAAGGGTATTCTCTTGTGGGGAGGTAAACTGAGGGCCGTCTGTTCTGTAAAACGATTCACCAAATTGTAAAATATTTATTTGTAAGCACCAACCCAGCATTATTTATTAATTACACTTAGGTGCACCGTCAGAATCTTACAAAACTGTGATGGACTTAACAATAAATCGTTAGCTCCATTAAGTGAATACCCTTTCTCGGATGACCAGCTGTGCTCAAGGACATGAAGATACATGTGATCACTAGAAATACTGTATTTACTGCGTTACATGTGAAATCCATTTAGAAGCTGATGGTTACATACCGGACTCCCAACAGTGGTCTCCTCTGGTTTAAACCAGGGGTCTCCAAACTATGGCCCTCCAGGTGTTGAGGAACTGCAAGACAGCTACAGGCAAGACTCCCAGAGGCATGATGGGACTTGTAGTACTTAAACAGCTAGAGGGCCATAGTTTGGAGACCCCTAGTTTAAACCATCTACATTCATTGACAGGTGCATTTGACCTGCAGTTGATCTTCAGATCTGCACTTTATCTGCTTTAACCAGTTGCCGCTGGCCTATGGCCAGATGAACACTTCGTCCTTCCGGGAAGACTACATACGGCATCCTTCCTGGAACGCGCACGGCGCATGCCAGCGCTGTGGAGAAATCTGTCACCGGCCGTGTCCCAGGTACACGGCCAATAACAGATCTGTGTACCGGCCCTGTTGCCAGTACCATGTGACCTGCTATGACCAATCACAGTAGGTCACATGACAGTTGTATACAATGGATGGCTTCCTTTCATGCCATCCATTGTATACAAGTGTGTCTAGCTGTGAATGGTCACAGCTATCACATGCACAGGCTGGGCGTTTGGGAAGAAGTGCGAACAAGCCCTTAAGGAAAAAATAACCGCCCCACTATCTTTTCACCTGTACCCAAATACTTACCTGACTTGTCCGATCACTCCAGCACTGACCCAGCTACAGCAACTCTCCACTTTCTGGTCTCACAGGAGACACAAACAGTGGGGAGCCATAGGCTCCTGCTACAGACCGCCAAATTCCTCTGAGGAAGGAGCAGGCGTGAGGCTTACCGGCACTGTGTCTATGGACGCACACAGCCCAGATCAAGAGTGTGCCTGCATGAGTGCCCATTAGCAAGCTGATTGTAAAGGGGGCACTCAGAAAAATTTTAATCACTTTAAAGTGGGTTTTGTATTCCAATAGACTTCTTTTGGAATTCAAAACCCATCTGACATGAACAAAAACCAGGTCGACACGGGGCCCTTAAAGTTGACCACACTAAACAGTTAGATTGTACAATCTACTTTAGTACATGCCTACACATATATTTAATTTGTATCCAATCAGGCAAGCCATTGCACTACATAGTTGATAGAATAGCTAAAAGATTGTACAATCAGCTTGTATAGGATACAGTCAAATGTAGGCTACTGCACAAACAAGCTTTTTCTTGTCACCAGAACTAAAACAGGTCTCACTTTAATGGGACACTTGTTCTAGTGACAACTATCTACCTTTCTGATCCTTCTGTCCAAGACTGGAAGGAAAATCATCCCGATAGGACACAAAAAAAAAAAATAAATAAATTTACAGGGACCCATACAAAAATAATAACCAACAGAGTTTAAAAATTGACATACCTGTAAATTGGGAGTACAGTGCATGGACACAAAGCAAAGTATTCAATTACTCCGAGTTACTGGGTTATAAGCTCATAGCTTCAGGTCCTTGGTTACTCTGCATTACTTTTTACAAAACTAAACACATTCTCCAAAATATGAAATTTACAGGCAAGTCAACAGAACACAGGCAAAGGATTCAAAGACCCAGGAATGTCCAAGAAATGAATGAGAAGGATGAACAAAAAAGGCAAAACAGACATGTGCTAACAGGCAACAACAGCACCAAGGGTCTGAATCGGGACCCAGCTTCAGACTGCCACTTCAAAAACCTTGCGGCCGAAAGCTGCAAGACTGAAGACTGAGCATCCACTTGGTAGAACCTTGAGAAGGTATGAACAGAGGACCAGGTAGCAAAATGCCCAGGAAACAATTTGGTGGAATGGGTGAGTAAAAGCACAGGTGGCGATTTGTCAACAGTGTAAGCTCTGGAAATCAGATTTCTAATCCATCTCGTGATAATGAACTTGGAAGCAGTGTGCCTCTCATGAAGTCCTGAGAAACAGGCAATCCCTAAGTCTCATGGAAGCTGTAGCTTTTAGGTAGATTCTAATGGCTCCGACTATGGCCAGGCAATGAAGAGAGATTTCCTTAGGATGCTTTGAAGCAGGACATAAGGATCGTATGACTTTGTCCTTATTGAGGTTGCAGACTGATACCACCTTAGGAAGAAAGGGTGGTTTGGGGCATGACAACTTTGCCTGTGTGAAGTATGAGCAACTGCTCCTTACAGATGAGGACCAGCAATTTAGAGACACCCCTAACAAACATAACAGCAACCAAAAATGCCATTTTACAGGAAAAATCTCCTAAGGGAATATTCCTGATGGGTTCAAAGGGTGTTTTTGCAGTGCAGAAAGAACCAAAGTTGAGAGCCCAAGGAAGCATACGGAGCTGCAAGGGGGGCTTAATGTGTGGTACTGTACATCTTGATAAAAACATTTTACAAGGGATCGTAAAGCTGGAGGTCTTTAAAAGGACAGGTCTCAGCCTTACCCATTCTGTTTCAGAATGCTTAAAGCCAAGTTCTGGTCAATACCTGACTGTAGGAAGGCCAGAACCTGAGGCACAGAGGAATCTCTGGCATTGAAGTGATGGTGTTTCATAGCAAGCCCTGAAAATAGTGGTGCACTGAAATTAAAAATTCCGATGCCTAAACCGAATCTTCAGGATGCACTGGCGTTTTTGTATTGAAGTCTAGGGCAAAAATGCTGATAATACTACTTTTGGCCGATATATCGGTGCATCCAAAAAAAAAAAAAAAAAAAAAAAATAATAAAATAATAATAATAATAAATAGGAAAGGGGGGGGGGGAAATTTTGTAGAGCAAACTGAACTGCTCTGAGCTCCAGGATTTTGATGGGGAGCTTGGTATACACTGGTGACACTGTCCCCTGGACCATGAGGGACTAGAAAACTCCTACCCAGCCTGACATCTGTATTTATCACTATTTAGCGAGAGAGAAGAAAAGACCTCCATATTGTTTGGGTTAGGGTTCATATCCACCAAGCTATGGAGTCCACTGTTTGGCTGGACAAGAGCTTGGGAAGGTCGAGAGAAGGAGAATGTCTGTTCCAGGTTGACCGGATGATGTGTTGAAGACAGGGGCGGACTGACCATTTGGAAACTTGGGCACTGCCCGAAAGCCGGAGTCAGTAGAGGGCCCCATGAGATGCCCCTGGTACCTTTTTCATAGGCTTTTTTGAGTTTGGGCAAGGACACAGGGGCCCCATGATCCCCTATTGCCCGGGGGCCCCATGAGTTGTCAGTCCGCCCCTGGTTGAAGAGCTCTTGAATTAAATTGGGCAAATGGTACAACCTCAAGGATACCATGAGGCTAAGAACTCTCACTAAGAATCTCATTCTTGGATGTCTGATTTCAATTCTAGAGCATTGGGCTCTGATAGAAAGAATTTTCTTTTCTGAAAGGAAAAACTGCTGCTTTGGAGGTGTCCAGGACTGGACCCAAGTAGTCCAGGCAAAGACGACTGGAGAGCAGATTTTTTTTTTTTTTATTATATTGATCACCCAAACTAAAGTCTGCGCATCTGAATTGTCCTGTGGACAGCTGATGAGAACTGAATGGGAGGGGAGGTCTTCAGGAGAAGGTCATCCAGACAGCCTGTGAACTGGATGCCCTGAATTCTGAGAATGGCAAGAAGGACCTTTGTGAATATTCTGGGAGCAGAAGATAAACAAAAAGGGCAGTGCAACAAAGTAAATTTCCACCATTGCAAAGTGCAGAAAGCACTGATGAGGTAGATAAATGGAAACATGTAGCTAGGCATCTTGTCTATGAATCTCATGTATTACTCAAGAGAAGCAGTTACCAGCCTTGTAAGATCTGAAAGCATTCGTTGAAGGATTTTATAGCCAGAATAGGTCAAATACACCCGCTGGACTTGAGTATCAAAAACCGGTTTGAAGAAAACACTTTGAATCTGTCTTATGGAGTTACTGGCACAACCACTCCCTGGGATAAGAGATGGTTGAAGACACTGCAAATCTGACTGCCTTTGTCAATTTTTGGTTGATTTGAGAGAAAGGGGGGGGGGGGGGGGGGGGTAGAGATTTGAACTTTATTTTGTACCTCTTTGAAATCATCGCATGAACCCACAGGTCTGGGACATCTGGGACCCAGAAGGAGGCAGAATAAAACCAAAAAAAAAAAAAAAAATAGATGTCTCCATCCCAACGTAGGAAGGAGGGCACCCCATTTGGAAGAGGGCTTTAAGGAAGACTTGCTTGATTTTGTTGCCCAAGTCTTGTGCTTGAAGGAAGGGCTGAAGCCTGGGTAGAGCTGTTAGGTGCTCTGTGTAAAATTCCTATCTGGAGTGACCCAATCGTCAGACTTCATGTTCTATCTGTTCATGAAAGTTTTGAACAGCCTCTTTGTACTCAAAGGGCATGGCGGGACAGAAAAGAAATCAAGCTGCACAATGGAAACAGTGAGTTTTTTCAATGTTAGCAAGTATGCTGAATGAAGCTCCTGCTTCAATATAGAAGCAACCTGGGGGAGAAAAATCTTCTGCGGTTTCCGCCAATACTGCCTCAATGCCCGCTTCATCCCTTTCAGTTGCTGCCTCGTCTATGGCAGACTTATCGGGATCTAACTCTGGTGGAGAAACAGGAATAGGTGAAGAGGTGTGCTGTTTGAGTCCTGGGCAACAAATTGCTGCGTATTCAGCCCATTAATTGTCTGATTGTTACATAGATACAGAAAATTCTGCTTTTGTCAAGTAGGCCACTTGTTGCTTGCCTGAAATACAGCTAGAATCGGATTCAGCGACTGGAGTGTTGGAGCTGGCGCCTGCTCTAGTGCAAGTGGTGCAAAATCATTTTGAGATGGAGTAAT